CGGGGGCGGGGGCGGCGGGCAGCTCCGCAGTACCCCCGCGGCAGCCCTGGCCGACACGCAGCCCCCTCGCATTGCAGCGCTGTGCGGACGCTAATGGCATTGATTTTCATTCCTTCCTTGTTTCGCAGCGTCGTCTCCCGGGCCTTGGCACGCTGTCCCAGCCCGCCACGTCCTTGACTTTGCTCGGGACTCGCCGCACCTGCTACATGGCCGGTCCCAAGTTGAGCCCTGGGGAAGTGCCCGGCAGGCAGCCCCTGGGCGCGCCGTCCTGAGCCCTGCCTCAGGGTGAGGGTCTCCCTGCACTGCACTTGCCCACGGTCTCAGCCCCGTCTGGGCAGGACCGGTCTCAGCCGTGTGATGGATGAAATGTGGGGTGCTGGGGCAGGCTGCCCGCGTGTGTGACTGCCGTGGGCTCCGTGGCCAAGGGCAGCCAAAGCCGACGGGCAGGCAGGGCACAGTGGGCTTTGCCTGCGGGGAAAGCAGGTCTGTCTGTGCAGGGCAGGGGCCCTTTGCTTCCAGCCTTGGCAAAGGCGAGCCCATGAGCCCGTCCTGGGGCCTGAGCGCTGCCTGGGCCTGCCCGCGCTCCGCGGCACAGCCTGTCAGGCTGCCCTGCATGCACCAGGCCGGTCTGCTCATCCCTGAGGGCACCCCCATGCTGCGGGCAAGGCTGCTGAGGGCCGCAATGCTGCAGCGACACAGTCGGGATGCTGTCAGGCTTCAGCTGACACCCCTGGTCAGAACGGGGGACCGGGCTGAGGGAGACGGCAGTGCCCGGAGCGGGGCCGCCAGCTTGGCCTGGGACAGCTCGGACCAGGGGTTTTGCCTGGGGCCGGCGTCCACCAAAGGAAGCGGTCACACGTGTGAAGCCACAGGGAGATCTCTGCAGGCCGCGGCAGGGCCGAGCTGGCGGGGACTGGGGCTGGGCCAAGCTGACAGGGGGCCAGGTGGAGGGGGTGGAGGGGAGGCCTGAGCGGGTCCCAGGTGCTGTCTGCAGGAGCGGGGCAGTGCTGTGCGTCAGGGGCCGCGGTGCCTCCTGCCGGCTGCACTTGTTGATGGGGCTGGGACCGAGTCACCCGCAGCACTGAGCTTCCCCCTGCACACGTTCCCCACTGGCCACGAGCCCCCTCTGTGGGGCGAACGTGATGCCTGTGGATAGGCCCGGCCAGGAGGAGCTGCTCTACGCCGTCTTGGGCCGACACGGGAGAGGCTCAGAAACAGGCGCCGCTGAGCAGATCCGGGTGCAGCGCCCAGCACCGTGCACAGGGCCAGTGGATGGAGCACAAGCGGGGGGCTGCTGGCCCAGGCCGCAGGGCAGATCTGGGTGCTGAGCAGGGCGGTGCAGGCGATGCAGGCGTCATCCCACAAAACACAGCGCACTTCCCTAGTTAAACTAGAAGCTTTGCTGGTGCGCCGGGGCCCAGCGCTGCGTGATCCAGTTGGAGAGCATAGCCAAACCAAATCGGACGTCACCTGAATGAGAAACTGGGCAGGGCTGACAGGGGCTTGGTGACCAGGGGCAGGGAGCAGACACAGACTGGCAGGGCCAAGGCTGGCTGGGCACAGGACCATTAGAAAAGACGGGGTTGTTACCGCCTGCAAAGTGAAGGGTGTAGCAGGGGTCAGGGAGACGATGAGTGGTGAAGTCAAGTGTCTCCCTCGCTGCTGCCGCAGGCGGGCTCTGGGTTTCCACTGGGGGTGAAGCAGAAATCGAAGGGAGCAAGTGAACCAGTGCACCCCTACACCCTCCCCTGCCCTCCACTTGGCCCTTGACCTTGTCCTGGGACATCTTGACCCTCTGTGACCTGCGTCCCGTCTGGTCAGGCCCCGCTGCATCCATGCCGGCTGCTGCACGGAGGTCACGGGCTTTCTCCTGCACCTCAGCCAATGCACTTGCCCAGCCCTGGAGCATGCCATGGCCAGCCCATGCCAAGGCTCCCTCAGTGCCCGGCTGCCTGAGGGGCTCCCAGGTGACAAAGGCAGACCCAGGGCCCAGGGCCGGGGCTCACGTGGGGTCAGCCAAGGGTGTTGGTGGAGCTGGGCTGTGGGACCCGGGGCAATGCACTGCTCCCCAGGACACCAGGCACTGGCGTGGAGAGGGCGGCAATACCTCCACGCAGCAGACCTGGGGCAAAATGGTCCAGAGCTGAGCCCAGCCCAGCTCCCCTGGGGCTGGGAGACCCTGTCATGGGGGGACAATGGCTGTGTCCGGCCCCGGCGGGGCTGGGGCAGCGTGAGCTCAGGCTCTGGGGGAGCATGGACCGGGGCCATGGGCCAAGTGGGGTGCAGGGGGCTCAGGGCGTGCAGCGGCAGGACAGGGGGTGGGCAGGAAGCACTTCAGTGCCGTGGCTCCCACCCCCCGGCCCCGCCGCCGGGTCCCCCAGGGGCCAAGGCAGCGCTGACACCATTTCTCCGCAGAGTCACTATGTGGCCTGCATGGCCGCCATCCTGAACCAGATGGACGAGGCCCACTACAGCGCCTATATCCAGGCCTTCCCCACCCGGTCAGACCTCATGGTGAGTGCGGCCCTGTGCCCAGGTGTCCCTGCGTCCCCTGTGCCCCGGGGGCAGCTGCGGCCGGTGCCAGGGCTGGGCTGGAAGGGGGCTCTGCCCCAGACCAGCCTTGCCCTCCCCCTTCCCCCGCTACCGCACCGGGCATATACGCATAGAGCCGCGGGGCTGGCCAGGACCTGCGGGGTCGCATCCAGTCCCAGCCCTGCCTGAGGCAGGATCAGCCCCGTCCAAACCAGCGCAAACAAACCCGGTGTCCAACGCGATGCAGTCACCCCAGCACAGCCCCAGGCATCACCCCCGCCCCTGCCTCCAGGATGCAGGGGGGCCACGGCTGCCAGCATCCTGCTGCTGCCAGGGGGGTCATGGGCGCTGCAGAGAGCCCAGGCCCAGGCCGTGCCCCCCTGCAGGGGAAAGAGAAACCCCCCAGTGCAGACCAGTCTGAGCAGAAGGGCAATCCCTTCCTGCCCCCGTGCAGCGCGGGGCTGAGCCTGAGCGCAGGGGCAAGACCCTCCAGCCAGGACCCTGCGGGGTGGGTGTCAGCAGGAGCATGGGCACAGCCCAGCCCCATCCCCATCCCGGGCTGCGGCAGCACCAGCGCCTCGCGGGATGGTGAAACCCCCCTGACACATGAGGCAGAAAGAGGAGCAAGGGGCAACCAGCACAGCCCCGAAGCCTGGGACACCCCACAGCAGAGCACGGGCATCGCTGCGCCCGGAGCCTGTCCAGCCTGTCCGTGACACCTCCAGCAATGGAGAGTCCCGCCGTCCTTCGTCTTTCTCCCCGCGCCTGCTGGGGCTCCTGCTGCCCACGGTGCTCGGTCCCTGCAGGCACCCAAGGCCCTTGGAGGTGCCCGCGCTGTCTGGCCAGGCCCAAAGGCAGCCGAGGTGGCAAGTGGAGCAGGAGCCGCTCCAGCCGGGCCCTGCACCAGACAGCAGGGCGGGGAGCGCAGTCCCTGGGACGGCGCCAGCCTCTGCCCCTGGGCCCGGGCCAGGCTCCTCGGGAACAGCTGGCGCCACCTCTGAGCTGGGGCGCGGGCCCCCCCAGCTGCACCGTCTGCCTAACGGGGCCTTTGCTTGGCAGGACTTCCTCATGGAGACCTTCATCCTCTTCAAGGACCTGATTGGCAAGACGGTGTACCCCTCCGACTGGACCGTCATGAACATGGTGCAGAACCGGTGAGGGGGCCATAGGGGGTCTATGTAGGAGCATGCAGGAGGCATGTAAGAAGCGTGTAGGAGGCATGTGGGAGCGCACAGGAGGCATCCCACAGCGCGTGGTCCCTGCCAGCATCACCCTGGGCCAGCCCTGAGCTGGGGCCACCCAAGGCGGGTTCCTCCACCCCTGCGGGCAGGAGTCCAGACTGAGCTGGGGGGGGCTGGTGCTTGCCCCACCCGAGTGCAGCCCCCGCCCGCTGGGTGCCTGGCAGGCGACGGGGGGCAGCGCTGCCCAGTGCCCCGGCAGGGTCCGGGCCGGGAGCCGGCACCCCCGGCCATCAGCGAGGTTGCCCGGCCAGACGCGCTGCTCCCTTGAGCTGCTACAGCTCGGTCCCACTAGCCCCACGTGAGTCATCTGTCCGGTCACCCGCCGGACGCCGGTACTGCCATCGGCCACCCGACCGGGGTGGCCCGAAGATCCATCCGGACAATTCTTGTTCTATCAATAGTCCCACTAGCCCCACGCCAGCACCTCCGCTCCCGAGTCAGGGAAGGAGCCCCAGGCCCTGCCGGTCGCTCCCCTCTGCCCTCCCCGAATTAGCCAGCCCTCATCCTCCCATGATGGGGTCTTGGGCCTCAAGCCCGGAGTCCTGATCAGCCGCGGGTTGCTCCTTGCCCGGGCGCTGAGCCAGGCCATGCCTCACGCCCCGCACCCACCCCCAGGGAGTTCCTGCGAGCCATCAACCACTTCGCCGAGACCCTGACCTCCATGTTCCTCAACAGCAACAGCTTTGAGCTGCAGGTGAGCTGGAGGCAGGGGCATGGGGGCAGGGGTGTTGGGGCAAGGGCACGGGGGGCCGGGCACAGAGGGCAGGCGTAGGGCACGGCGGGCTGTGCGAGCCCACCTGGGCAGGAGGGGCCGGGCCCTTGCCGGCCTGGGTCTGGAGCTGTGGGGAGAGGTCCCGGGTGGATGCAGCGTCTCCCCCGAGGTGTCTGCAGCCCCCTGAGCTCGGCCCTGCCGCCCTTGTCCCCGCAGCTCTGGAACAACTACTTCCACCTGGCCGTCGCCTTCCTCACGCAGGAGTCGCTGCAGCTGGAGAATTTCTCGCAAGCGAAGCGCACCAGCATCCTGGCCAAGTGAGTTGGCGCCAGCCCGTCCGGGGCCCGCGCTCCATCCCTGCCGCACCCCTTTGGCACTGGGCTCCTGGTGCGGGGCACAGCTCCCGCCCCTCCTGACCCCGCGGGATCAGGGCAGCTGGGGCTGGGGTGAGCCCTCGTCTCCTCTTGGCAGGTACGGGGACATGAGAGCCACGATCGGAGCTGCCATCCGGGACATGTGGTACAACCTCGGTGAGTGGGGTCGGGCCTGGGGAGGGGACAGTCCCTGCACCGTGCCCAGCTCTGGCTGCAGCCGGGCATCACTCCTGCTCCTGGCCCCGTGCCCTACGGGACCTGGGCTGCGTCTTCCCGCAGCGCGGGGTGCTGGGGCCCGGTGCTGCTCCCTGGGACCAGGCCTGAGCCAGATCCCTGGCGCAGGGCAGGGAGCCGGGACTGCCGAGGGCCGCGGGAGAGGGACCCGGGGGGAGCCGCACCCCCTAGGCCAGGTCAGTCCAGCCCTTTCCTGCCCCCTCCCAGGTTACCGCAAGATCGAGTTCATCCCGGGCATGGTGGGCCCCATCCTGGAGATGACGCTGGTACCTGAGCTGGAGCTGCGCAGATCCACCATCCCCATCTTCTTCGACATGATGCTGTGCGAGTACCAGCTGACCGCGACCTTTCGCATGGTACGCTGCGCCCCACGCCCCGTCTCCCCGAGCCCTCTCCTTCCCTTGTGGCCCCCCAGGCCAGCGCCCCTCTGCTCAGGGGGTGCCCACGACGCAGCCCTGGGCCACGGAGCAGGGCAGGAGCTGCGCCCGGTGGTGCCCGGGGCCTGCGCCGCGTGCCCCAGGGAGCGGCAGCACCCCGGAGCCGGGCGGGCACCAGGTCCCACCCCTGAGCTGTCGGCTCTCCCCCTTCGCCCCTGCTGGGGCTGGGGGGACCCGGGGCCGGTCCTTGTCCTGGGTCTGCAGGCTGGGGCTTCTCGGCCACTGCACCCACGGGTCGTGCGCCGAGGCCACGGGGGTTGCACCCAAGGGCTGCGCTCAGGCTGCGGCTGTGGCACCCCTGCAGTTTGAGGATGAGATCCTGCGCAAGCTGGACAGCGAGGTGGAGGGCGGCCGCGGCGACGAGCAGTATAAGCAGCTCTTCCGGAGCATGTGAGTGGTCCCCTCCGGCCAGCCCGTCCCGAGCCCAGGGACAGGCCCAGGCCCACGGCCGGAGCAGGCCTGGGCCCTTGGGGCTCCACACTGCCCGGCCCGGGAGGCTGCGGGGGCTGGTGTCCGGTGCAAGTGGGTCTCTACCCCCAGCCTGCTGGACTGCTGCTGGGAGCACCCCGAGCTGGCCGGGCTGGGCGAGAGCTTTGTGGCGCTGGTGACCGGCCTCCTGCAGCGGCTGCTGGACTACCGGGCCGTCATGAACGACGAGAACAAGACCTACAGCATGAGCTGCACCGTCAACCTGCTGGTGAGTCCCCGGCCCCCGAGCGCAGCCCCAGCCCAGCCCAGCCCGCAGCCCCTGCTCGCAGCCTGGGCAGGTCCGCACAGAGCGCCTGAGCTCGGGGCCCGCCCGGCCTGCTGGCAGCATCTGCTGAGGCTTTGCGAGCCCCGACGATGTCCCGAGGCAGCCTGTGCAGACCCGACCCTGACGCCAGGATCAGCCCAGCCTGCGCTGAGCCGCTTTCTCCCAGGCTCGTGCGTCACGTACGAGGAGGGAGGACAGCTTCTCTCTGGCTGCAGAGAGCAGGGCGCCGACCCATGGCTCCGGGTTGCAGACAGGCAGGTTTAGGCTGGAGACCAGGGCTGCTTCCCTGGGAGCGCAGGGTGGCCCAGGAGAGAGGCCGGAGATGGGCAGGCCCAGCACCATTAGCCTCTGCTCACATAGACGCCCCTGCACAGCCCTCGTGCTGCTTGCCACCTTCTTCCAGGTCCTCTGGGCCCCGCGTTCAAGGGGCAGCTGCACCAGCGCGCCCCTCTGCAAGGAGCTCTCCTGCGTGCGGAGCCTCCTCCGCCTCCCCGTCTGTCCCCGGGCTCAGCGGCCCCAGCGCTGACCTCCCCGCTCCCGGGTCAGGACTCCTGCCCCTCTCGGGACTCTCCACATCTTGCTTGAAACCCGGTGCCCAAAGCTGGACACGGCTCCCGCTGAGGCTGCCGGGACGGCAGGCGGTGCACGTGCCCTAGCAGTTCTCCCCTCGATGGCTGCAGCCACGCGGGGCTCTTGGCCCTGCTGTGCAGGCCCAGCTCCAGCCAGCCAGCCGGTC